TAGACTGTTAGGTTAGGATTAGAATATATATATATTCATAATTGTTTATTAATTTCACGTAAGCATAAAGCCTGAATGCCATCTATATATATACACACACACACACATTATCCTTTATTATAACAAAGTCACTCTTCAAATCAATATGACCTACATTGGCAATAGAGGAAACAAACCGTTTTGATGAGCAAAAAAAAAATTGGGAAGAAGAAAACAGAAGCTGCTCTAAATCAAATGAACAGCATGTAATGCTAGGTAACAGACGTTAATACAAGTCAGTCAAACTTTCCACTTGAGTTGTGAGTTTAAATGATGCCTTGATAATATAAGTGTATATCTTTATTGAGAGTATTATAGGTTCCAGAGGTCACATGATCCAGAGGAACAAGGAAGCAAAAGGATATTTCCAAGAAATATTATTACATCCTTAAATCTGCTCTTAACACTTTGTTATAAAGTATAACTGGAAAATAGGGAGGGTTAAATAATGAGAAAATTGGGAAACCACACTGGCATAAAATCAAGACATTCGCATTTAAATGATCTTCTAACACAGTGAATCTAAATAAAAAGATGACATGTTACCATGCAATATGAGAGGCGAATAAGACAATCGCTTGGTTTCGGTTTACAGGAAAAAGGTGAACCAGTAAAAATCCATAAAATAGTAACATCATGAAATCAATAAAAGCTGGACACACACCCCAGAACAAATACCACCTTTATCCTGGACCAGGGAGTGGCTGTTCAGCCTGAGAGTTTTCACTAATCCACACCTGTGTACGACCATGAGAACACGACATAATTACTGCTCATAGATGAACCTTATATAAGAGCGGAGGAAGGACACGGCCACATTGTGCGCATCTGTTGGCTTGGTCGCAGTTTGAAGCAAATCTCATTCTCTGTGGTATCTTTTCTGATTACAGTTTTCTCTCCATCATGAAGAGGATGATCATAAGATTCTGCATGTTGGCTGTGCTGGTCTCCCAGTCTCAGGTAAATACATACACATCCATCAATAACTTGTATATTTTATATTCACACAATGCTGACATCTTACAATATTATCATATGCTATTGAAATATGTGTGGCCTCCGGGTAGTCTTGAATAAGCTAAGACAAGGTCAGATTCTGATAAACTCTTTTCAAAGCTATATGAGAATGCAAATATTGAACTTTTTTGTAATATAATATAATATAATACAATGAAAAAAATAATTTTGTGTGGTTTTCCAGTATAAAAAAAGTCTAAACATCTTAAAAATGACCTGTTATTAGAATCTATCTTGAATTATTTTTATTACTTGTTTTAACCAGAAATCTAACAAAACGTAGTGAGATTTATGCTTAAAACAAGGAAAAAAAACTCTTTGTCAGTGGTCTAAGTAAAATATACAGAAAAAAAATCTGTACTTTTTCTGTCGTTTCCCAGTAAAAATGTCTACACATCTTACTAAAATAAAAAAAATAAAAAATAAAAAATAAAATCTCTTAAATTATTTGTATTTCTTGTTTTAAGCAAAAAACTAACAAAACATAGTGAGATTTATGCTTGAAACAGTAATAAAATGACTTCTGTTCCGCTTCTCAAGTAAATGTATCATGCTTCAAAGATATTCAGATGTTTTTACTGGATAACAAGAAAAAATATGAAGGAAATTATTTCTCAAGTTATTTTTACAACAATTATACTACATTATTGAGAACAGTAATAGGGAAGGGGAAGTTTCACACCAATGAAATCTGAGGAACAAACACTGTATTATGTTTTATTTTTAACATCTAAAATTGGCAGTGGTTAATAAGCTTTTAAATTGTTCCCTAAAAGACTAAAGGGACAACTGACTTGGCAACAACTGATGATACTTCAGTTACAAGAACAAATCCAACAACTGTAAAGACTTCAACTAAAACTACAGCTCAACCCACCGTTCCAACAATTGGTACTACTTCACCCATAATAACGAGCATAAATACTTCAGATACAACTCAAGCCCCTGTGACAACTCCATCAGATCAGCCAACCACAACGTCTCCATCTTCAGAGCCCACCATGATTCAAACAACTGAATTTCCAAGCAACATGACTGATATGACCACGATGACAAATTCCTCAACGCCAGTGAATGCCACCATGACAACAGTAGGACAGACCTCAATTTGGACGACTACGTCATCCAGCGACTCACTGACAGTTACCATCATCAGCTATACTCTATCCGTCCTGCTGTACATGATGTTGAATTGAGCATTATTTGATTCAGCACCCTGGATTAAAGCTAAGCTTGTTTTGGAAAGTACTGTAGTACAGTATAATAGAATATAAGTAATATATAAAGGTAAAGTATAGACTATATGTATATACTTTATATATAAATTATTAATGAGTATATAAATGACTATTACATTTACAGTAGCATAAGCCAAAACTGAACAACAGATAATAGTTTTATTGATTGAATGTTTGTTATGGTTGCACAAACCTGCTTGATGCATCACAAATGAGGACTGCCTAAAAAAGCACCTAAGATTTCAAATGAAAAATGTATAGTGACTGTCTGAAATAAAAAAAAGGATCTGTTGATTGTATGTATGTCTTTCATAGTTAAGACTAATTCAGATTTTCATTTTAATGTGACAGCAATGTATTTACTGTTTAGTAAGTGAGCCTTTTCTGGACTAAAATAGTTTAAGCAAAATCAATCATTTCCTTTTACTCAGTTTATGGTCTCATTACATCCTAGGAAAACATTAAACAAATGAGTCCAGCTACAATCTACAAGATAAGAATGACAAATAATCCAGTTGACTTCATGTTTCTGGGTCAATAAATTTAGTAGTCTGATACTGAATATGAGATGCATATGTCTTTCACAAAATAAGAGGGATCATGAAAATTACACGTTATTTTTTATTTAGTGGCCTACTGTCTTGAATAAGCTATTTCACATAACGGATGTTTATATATACTCCACAATACAAAATAATAACTGAATTTATAAAAATGACCCCGTTCAAAAGTTTACATACCCTTGAATATTAATACTGTGTGTCATTTCCTGGATGATCCACGACTGTTGTTTTGTTTTGTGATAGTTGTTCATGAGTCCCTTGTTTGTCCTGAACAGTAAACCGCCTGCTGTTCAGAAAAATCCTCCAGGTCCTGCTCAAAGCTGAATAAATAAGCTTTCCATTGATGTATGATTTATTAGGATAGGACAATATCTGGATACAACTATTTGAAAATCTAGAATCTGAGGGTGCAAAAAAATCAAGATACTGAGAAAATCGCCGTTAAAGTTGTCCAAATGAAGTTCTTAGCAATGCATATTACTAATCAAAAATTACGTTTTGATATATTTATGGTAGGAAATTTACAAAATATATTCATGGAGCATGATCTTTACTTAATATCCTAATGATTTTTGGCATAAAAGAAAAATCGATAATTTTGACCCATACAATGTTTTTCTGGCTATTGCTAAAAATATACCCAAGCAACTTAAGACTGGTTTTGTGGTTCAGGGTCACATATGCCTCGGCAACTTTGCCGGGTCTAATCTACCCGGGTAGATAAGAGAAGTTATTTCTTGAAAACAAGAAAACAGACTAGCAGGTGGTTTTCTACAATGAAAGCAAGCATTATGAAAACTAATAGACAATTGTGGAAAAGTCCTGGGAATGATGTATCAACAAGTGGTCTGTATGCTCATTGGACAGTGACCGATAATGAAATTGTACAAAGATGGTAGCCTGGACAGAGACAGATTTAGATGTTCTGCAGGCATCTCGGCTTTGTTGTCTTCTTGCAATAAAGTCTAATTTTGACTTCTGGAACTCTGCCTCCTGAGCATTATTTAGCAAGACAGAGAAGACTTTTCTCTACAACAAAATTTTTGAACGGTAGTGTGTTTTGAATAAATGCTGTTCTTTTTATCCTGAAAAAAGTATCACAGGTTCCAAAAAAATAATAAGCAGCAAAAATGTTTCCAATATTGATATTAAAACAGCATATTACGATGATTTCTGAAGGATCATGTGACACTGAAGACTGGAGTAATAATGATGGGAATTCAGCTTTGAGCAATAAATTATATTTTGAAGTATATTAAAATAGAAAACCATTATTTTAAATTGCAATAATATTTCACAATATTACTGTTTTTTTCTGTATTTTTGATCAAATAAATGCAGTCATGATGAGCAGAAGAGACTTCTGTAAAAAAAACACTGATCCCAAACTTTTGAACGGCAGTGTATACATATTACTAACGTGCGTAAAAAGACATGGTAGAATAAGTTTGTTTTATTTAAATATAAAGACAACTAGAGGGCCTTTTACCCCAAGTCCTAGGTATATACATGGTTATATTATAAATAAACAATATATAATAGTTCACGTATTGTTCCCCACTTCTTCCCTAACTGCGTTTTGGGGCCTTTTTGACCATAGCTGGTCTTTTCACAGGCCTTTTATGAGCCTCTAGCCCATTTAACTAGAACTTTTACCCCCAAAACAATATTTTCACCATCAACTTTAGATTTATTAACCAAAAAACAAACAAAAGTGAAAATTATAAAAATAAACATGATAGAGTCCAGTCTTGAATCGTGCCCTACAACAACTGCTTGTTCTGCTTAACCTTTAAAAACTCATGGGCAATGGGCAATAATATAAATAAATAAACCAGAGATTTAAGGTGAAAGCTATGAAAGCCCATTTCTGCTACATAAGAAAAAAAGTCATGCTTTGGTCAATCATAATTATATAGAAGTCAAAATTTTGACATAAAAAGCCATGAAAATTGATATTAAGAGTTGAAAATTGTATTTAAAAAGTTGAAAATTGCATTATTAAAACTGTATTGCCTTCCACAGAGATTCATAAAGGACAGTGCTGCAATTCTCAGTAACATTTTATTTATTTATTCAGACACAAAGCTTTTCGATTAAAATGAATGGAATGTGCTTTTACTGTGTGCATGTAAATGTTTATCATTTGTATCATATACAGCACTTCTTCTAATCTTCTGCACGACATATAGCCAACAAACCCTGCTGGAGTTCACCTTTAAACTGCTTCTATTGAGAAAAACAAGAAATCCAAAAAAAAAATAAAAAAATAAAAAAATCATTACTTTGCTGGAATTAAAAATGATGGTGAAGACTGGTTTAAAGATGTGTGTGTGTGTGTGTGTGTGTGTGTGTGTGGAGACCTGTAAGGCCGTGTACAGTGATGTTCCCGTTGACTGAAGGTATGCCACTCTAACTCTCAATAGATCCTCCTCACTGTGAGCCACCATCACACCCTGGACCACCGGTGACTACAAGAGTACAGGACATAGTATCTGTCAACACATCTATAGCCGTTTCAAAACAAAAATAAAAACAAAGACTGTGGGCAACTGAGCATTATACAGTGCATAAACAAGCAGTGGTCTCAGTATTTGTATAAAGTTGTATACTTGTTTAAAAGAACTTCCTGTTTTGCATTTGCATGTGCTTTGCATGGATTTAGCATGTTGTATTTCAGGGAATAACTTGCTATAAATTCTTTAAAATATTTTTATTGATACATTACCTGCCATGCAAAACAATGTACGTTTATTCTACTACTGTAATTGTGTGCACACTTAGACAACGTGTTTCTATGATGATTAGGACTTCTGTTGTTATTATGTTGAACAAATGATATTTTCTATCCACTAACCTCAAACCAAACCCTCATATAAAGCTTTCTGTATTTTTAGCCCATCATAGAGTTGGTTTTAGGTTTTACGTTACTCTTTGATGGGACATTTGGCACCCAAAATGCTGGTAAAACCTGATCATGCACAAGATCAAGTTCTAAAGTAAATAATTTAGGAATGGCATTAATTAATATTTGGCTTTTTGAAACGACATTTATAAAGATATAGATATTTCTAAAATGTAAAAAAATTTAATAAAATAAAAAAAATCCCAAGCTTACTTTCATAGTTTGGAGCCGTTGTGCCAAGAATAGATACTGGTTCTGTATACATTGCACTGATGAGAAAAAGAAAGAGATGAATTGCAAATGCTTTGTGGATTTACATTAATTGATCATTACACATTGAGCACACACACATTAATACATCCTCAAACACACATAAACCAGTTTTACCTAATGTCTTTAAGCCCTTTTTGAGGTCTCCAGAGAGGACTCCTTTAAAATGTCCCTCTAAAGCGTCCTCCACTGTCTGGCCTTTCTCAAACTCCAGTTCTTCCAGCACTGAAGTAGAAATAACATTACTGTTCACACACATTTGAAATATTTGTTGTTGTCAGCCTTACAAATACCATACAAGAAAGCTTAAATAGTACATATGGATATGTTCCAAGGATTTGCATGCGTCAAATTTGTCAAAAACTTTACATAAGTAATCACCTGTACCAAGGATACAGGAAACAACAACCTTTCTAAACACTAGGACTGCCAACAATGGCAGATATTAAACAGTAATAATGAAACGTTCTGACAATTCTCATGCACAATAATTTCATCAGAAGCATAAGTGGTCAAATTTTGAAATACCTTAAAATATAAAATCCCTACATTGAGATTTGTAGACTAAAGATGTTATTTAGTGTCTTTATGAACAATTTTCCTCTTGATTAAATGTTCTTAAGGAACGGTTTTCCACATTTATCTTCTGAAGACATTTTCCAACAATTTTGTCCCTGAAATTATAGCTAGACCAGAAACACGTATACAAACACTTGCAACTCACCAGTTCTAAGATGGTCTGGGTTTCTTGTGGTGAGTAATTTGATCCAAATATCAGCTGCAGGTTTCTTGTTTTTCAGCTCCTCAGATAAAGACTGCAAAACAAAATCATAATATACTGAATTCAATCAGGCAATTAAATCAAGATATGAAATATGCATCTTATCTGAGTGGAATTCTTAGAAAACTTTGGATATCTGTCATCTTGTGATCTAACGGAGCTGAAATATCTACAATCTGAATTCAACTTCAGAGGTCATCTAGAGGTCACTGTACTGGCCGTTGCAGTGCAACAGATCAAACAAAGCAAAGTCAACATCATAGGTTTTATAGTTAAATCTTTGTCAGCTATATCTCTTAATATGACATGAAAGCAGTCCTTTGAGAGAGCCAGAAATCTTTTAAAGGAACAATTCATCCTAAAATGACAAATCTGTTATGAATGTATATGGACTCACTGCTATATCCTGGTCAATAATTCCTGGCCCATTCTCTTTCTGATAAAGGAGAGAGAGAAAGAAACCGAGAGAATGAGCACGATCACTCACATAGCAAGAGATATTGACATGCTGATGAAGTATCAACACAATAAAATTGGTTTTGGTGGTAAATATTTAACAGCGAGATTCAGGACAGGAGTTACCACACTTCTTACCTTCAACAACGCCACAATGAGCTTTGAAAAATCTCCACTGGTTTCACTTATCAAGTCTTTCTCCAAATCCCGCTTATACTCTGTTAAAGTGACACTAAATGTTGAAACATTCAAACACAGACTGATAGAAAATGTATGAAATTATCACTGTTATATTCAATTCTTACTGAATTAAATATTATAGTGATAACATATGCACTAGCGTTTAAACGTTTGGGGGTCAGTAAGATTGATTTTTGAAACAAATGAACACTTTTATTCAAAAAAGGATGAATTAAATTGATTGAAAAGTGACATGAAAGACTTTTACATAGTTACCAAATAAGTCTATTTCAAATAAATGCTGTTCTTTTGAACTTTTTATTCATTAAAAAAAAATTTACAGACCCCACACTTTTCTCAAAAATGCAATGTCATTTACAGCATTTTTATGTTGCTTTACAGTGTAAAATCACCAGTAATCAATAAATAATTAGTGTCATATATGAACATAATTCTCTGTAAATATTTAGTGCTCATTTTGAGTGATCATACGAAAAACTTATTTATTTTTTTATTTTTTTTAGACAGTGACATAATTAGTTTGAGGGCAATTGGCATAAGAGCTTTTTAACTCTATGACAATATGCAAAGCTTTAATTTACTATGAGCTGGGTTAAAAGTAAGACGTTCCAAAAAACAAGAGGCTTTTAATTGCATTCATTAAATTAAAAGGTTCAATATTTTTACATTTAGTAAAATAATTCCTAAAGCACCTTGACTATATGCAGCCCTGATGTCAGAGAGCTGCTGTGGCATCCTTGTGCACAACATCTCTAAAAGAGTTTCTTCATCTGTACCAGCACCCTGAACACACAAAAAATGAATACAGACTGAGTGGATGTCGATCTATAGTTAAATGCACGCTGATAATCACACACACACACACACACACACACACACACACACACACATGTAACTGCATACTCATAGACTAGCACTATACTAGTTATTAATGCCAAACCTCCATGGCTTTGCGTAAGCGATGGGCCTCAAACTGCTCTGGTATCATCATCAGTTCAAGTATCAGAGACTGCAGATCACCGGAAAGAACCTTTTTCAGACTTGCATCCAATTCCTGTAACACACACACACACACACACACACACACACATTACACA